TCCGGTTGCTCGGCATTCCTCGTTCCATCGTCTCCGATCGCAACAAGGTATTTCTGAGCACTTTTTGGTCCAAACTTTTTCGTTTGCAGGGGACTGTTCTCAAACGCAGCACAGCGTATCACCCCCAAACGGACGGCCAAACTGAGGTGGTGAACCGGTGCATTGAAGCTTACCTTCGTTGTTTTGCTTCGGACAAGCCCCGCCAATGGAAAAAGTGGTTGGCCTGGGCGGAATATTGGTATAACATGTCCTTCCATTCAGCGGCACAAACCACATCGTTTCGCATCCTCTATGGGCGTGACCCGCCGGCTCTGGTTCGTTACAGCGCAGGAACTACCACAGTTTCTTCTGTTGAGCAGCAGTTGGCCTCCCGGGATGGCGTGCTTGACGAGCTCAAACACCATCTGGTCTGTGCTCAAGAGCGCATGAAGAGGGAAGCGGACAAGCACCGCCGGCACGTGCAGTTTGCAGTTGGGGATGGTTTACCTCAAGCTTCGCCCTTACCGGCAGCGGACGCTGGCCACTCGGCGCAATGAGAAGCTGGTTCCCCGTTTCTATGGTCCGTATGAAGTTGTAGCACGAGTGGGCATCGTGGCGTACAAGCTTCGCCTGCCAGAGGGTACCCAAATTCACCCTGTGTTTCATGTTTCCCAGATTCGTCGGGCTATTGGTGTCATTCAGTCCTCCCACCAGCTTCCCCCTCAGCTGTCCGCCGATCACGAGCTTTTGGTGGAACCCGAGCAGGTATTGGGAGTTCGCCCCGAAACGGCCGGTCAACCCGGTGTGCTCGAAGTGCTGCTTCAGTGGCGTGGACTTCCCGCCTTTGAGGCTACGTGGGAGCCATTTTCCATTATTCAGCGGCAATTTCCAAGGACAAGGTGAAACTCTGGGCGGCGGGTAATGTTAAGGCCCCGATCAGGTTCACCTACGCTAGGAGACCAAAGGCCTAGACGAAAGCCCAAGGACAGGAAAGGGATTATGTGGAGGGTGCTGAAGGAGTTCTCGAGGAGGAAGTTGGTTAGAAGGAGTGCCTCGGGATTGCGTTAGAGTTAGTTAGGATATTCCGTGAGTCTTATTGGGAGCAGGGAATAAAAGGGGAGGAGAGAATAGAGGGAAGGCAAGCAATTGTTTAGTGAGTAGTGAAATATCTAGGAGGAGAGCTAGCAGACCTCTCCAATAGTCTGCGAATTTATCTCTACTTGTACGAAAGCTTTTACTTGAAATAAACATAAAACAGAGTATTTCTTGCTCAGAATTCTTCCATCACTCGTCACAATTATTCCAGATTGTATCACATCACTTTTTCAAGATATGTACAAGTTCTAATGGTAAATCTTGGATATACATGGTAAATCCAGGATTTACCAGGATCGACCAAGTTAGAATCACTTGAAAAAGAACAGTAGAAATTCTAATGGTAAATCCTGGATATACTTAGTAAATCCAGGATTTATCAAGTTAACATCACTTTTTCAGGAGCCATACAAACTTTAATGGTAAATCCTAGATATACATAATAAATCCAGGATTTGTCAAGTCACTTGAAAAAGAACAGTACAAACTCTAATGGTAAATCATGAATATACACAGTAAATTTAGGTAAATTTGAGATTTACCAAGTTAAAATCACTTGAAGAGGAACAATATAAATTTTAATGGTAAATCCAAGATATACTTGGTAAATCTAGGATTAGGATTTACCAAGTTAGCATCACTTTTTCAAGAACCGTACAACCTCTAATGGTAAATCCTGGATATACACTGTAAATTCAGGATTTACCAAGTTAGAATCACTTGATAAAAGACGGTATAAATTCTAATGATAAATCCTGCATATACTTGGTAAATCCTTAGCATCATTTTTTCAAGAACCGTACAAACTCTAATGGTAAATTTTGGATATACACGGTAAATCTTGGATTTATCAAGAGGGTATTTTTGGAATTTCAACTGGCTATAAATCCGAATTTACATCGGATTGGCCTATTTATTAACTTCTCTTAAACATTTGCCTAATTTTAATTCCTCTCAAATCTTGGCCTATTTCCCTTAGTCTCCCTATTTTTTTCTTATTGAGTAAATGGGTAAAGTATAAGGAAAGGCTCGCAGATGGGAATTCCCCGACCCCGAGTAAGCGGGTATGAGGGCGGGTACCCCATTTCGCCCGATGCTCATCCCAAAATAGAAATACTGTACATGAGTTGTAGTGAAAAGAAAAGAAAAGGAATAAGATATATAATCTTACCAGAAAAAAGAAATTGAAATGTGTATTTACCTATAATTAACAATCAACAAGCTGTACCCAAGTGAAGAGAGAAATGCCAAGGACTTTGAATAGCTTGTCGCCGATACGGAATGGGGCCCACCGTGAAGGACTACAATCAATGGATCACATCCATCATTCGTCTTAGTGTTGGAGGACACAAATATAGCTTCAAAAGGTGTCTTAGCACCTGCAACGTTTAAAAACTCCAGGAAATAAGAACAAATGCCTTTTCAACACAAGAAAAACTAGAATTGGTATCCACTAAACATGTGTTCTAGAATTCAAAAATCTTTTCATTCTCTTTGTCATAAGAGCACCCAGCAAAGGGAAAGAAAAAACATAACAAGGCATGTAATGGTAAAAATCTATGGGTCTCATCAGTGTTACTTTTTGTATTAGTCTGTATTAAAATGTAAGCATTAGGCCAACTCTTGATATATATATATATACACACATACATATATATATGTATGTGTTGATATATATATATATATATATATATATGTATGTATGTATGTAGGCACACACACACATATATACATATATGTATTGTCAATCAGAAATTGAAATATCATGTAAACACCTTCTGTCAAGCTATCGGAAAGATCCTTCACTGGAATCTTTATTACATCAAACTGACGATTTGCCAGCAAAGATTTAACCTGAAGTAAATAGATCGTTCAATAGTTTGATTGTGAGCATATAAAAGGAAATAAGTAAAAACAAATTGTAAACAATATAGAAATTAAAGCAAATAGATAAATGGACCTTCTCGGAGCATTTAAAAATGGGGCTTGATACATTTAGCCAACTCCATGTTGCATGTTTACTTGTTTTATCAATAAGCAACCCATAGTTGATTTGAGGAACATCCACTGGACTGCTAGAGACTTCAAAAACGAAACAAGAAAAGATATTAACTCACTTTTTGAATCTAATACAAAAGTAAACAAATAAAAGAAGAATAAAAAAATAAAACATATATTTAACATTTGATGTTACCTGCAATAACATTGTCCCCATCCAATGTAAGAAGATTCCATGAAAAATCTGAGCCTGAAGGGCTGATACGTGATACTTCAGCACTGTTTTGTGATTAAATTACACAAGTATTGTACACTCAAGACAAAGGTTTGCACAATAAACAAGTTATCCAGCCACACAAAAAAAAAAAAAAACAGAAAAAAAAAAGTGTTTCCATACACTTACGTCAAAATATTTGCAGAAAGTATCACTTGACTGCTGCCCCAGATGGAAGATAAAATCAAAGTGCGGCCATCAGAAAGCCATGGATTACTCAGCAAACTTAAACAGTAAAGCCCTGGGAATTGACCATCCGCTGTGGACATTACAACAGGAATCTTCAAGAATACAGAAAAGAGCTTAGTCATTGAGAAAAGAAAATGAACCAAA